TATATACAGTATATGTATGCTTTTCTACTTAGCTGAAAATGTTCTAACAATCACACCAGTAGTAACAATAATATAGGCCTTCGCCTGACCATCGTATTCTTGTTGATGGGCGAACAAGAATATATATGACAATATGCCATCTTGAATCTTGGGGTGTAAAATGCAAGCGTGATACATTTATACGTTATAAATACTCTCCATGCATGGTGGTATAGTATCTAATTCATCGACGAATCAAATACATCGTCGTAAAGCGTTTGGGTGGTATATTAAACTTTCTGCAGCAAGATTTTTGGCAATAAATTCCAACCAATCACAGAGCAGAAAAAAATTTACTGCAGTGAGTTTAAGTTACCACTGCGAGTTTATAAAATTTCATGTTCTTATGTAACATTAATCTGTCATTTTGACAATGTTGGCATAAGGTGCCGAAAACGAACATTTGAGTATATACAGAACATTTATTAATTTTTTCTGCGAAGTAAGTCTCATGATCGACAATTCACCACAATTTGGGTAAAATTAATGTTGAAATGAAGAATATAATTTCAGTCTAATGTTAGTGCAAAATATCATTAGGCCTTTGTAATCACCGCACGACGCGCGATTATCATGGCAACTAACACGCGCGTGAGTAATTCATCACGTACGCTGACGGTTTATGGCTGGTTGCTATGGTTTTGTGACGTTCAGCGTGTAGGGACGCACGTGCGCCTAGAATGTCGATGCCAGAATTATAATCTTTGATGTCCCGAGATGTGCGTCCTTCTGTTGAATTGCCTTGAGTTCAGGAACCGAATTCTGAGCGATATCGCACTCTATAGCCGTTCAGGAACCGAATACTGAGCGATATCGCACTCCATAGCCGTTCAGGAACCGAATACTGAGCGATATCGCACTCCATATCGTCAAATCTTCATTGTCCACAATCAGTCACGAGACTCAAAAATCCAGACTGGTTAAGTTTCTTTAGCAACTCGTACTCTCTCGGCATATTATGTGTTTTGTGCGCCTGGAGGTTCACATTCCTTTTGTCATAATAATGGTACTGCAACGGATTTCCTTTTGTATCATTGTAGAAAGGGTAGAATCCATAGAGAGTGGTACTATTGCAGAGAGAGGCAGCCACGGTGAACATGTTAAGACCAGTTGTCGGGTGTCGAACATCAATGTCCCAGAACCTATAAAATGTTTTAAAATTAATAAATTATTCAAATAAACGTCCCGCTTTAAATAAACGCCTCTTCGAATAAATTCCCCCTTTAGAGCCACATTGGGAATAAACGCTTCCCTTAAATAAACCATGAGGCGTTTGTTTTTCCCTTGAATAAACGCCTCCCCCTCTAAATGACTAAACAAATGGAAGCAACATCATTCTCAACACATCCCTGCCCTTTAATGGATTTACCAGTAGAATTAATTACATTTTTTCTAACATATGGATGGAATTTTAAGTCTTTATGATCACGCAATAACACACTTTGAGTGTGTTGTAGTTCCACATCGACCATATCCGTGGGAAGCATTTTTCAAGTGGTCCGGCCATTATAGTGAGAGCGCGGGGGGGGGGGGAGTAGCACTTAACATATTTAGTGGATCTAGCAACTGAAGACCTGCTACCCCTCTTCACGGATACAGTATTTTTAAGTTAGTGAGGTCTGAGAGCATATGCACTCCAGCCCCACCTGGTTGGTGGACAACTTTTTTGGCACCTCTGAATTCCCCGGAAAAAGATGCTGACAACCTGTAGAGCTGCTACCCTCCCCAAGGGGCAGTCACAAGATGTAAAGTTAGCATGGATATAGAGTCTGTGTTGGAAATATGGCACCTCTAGATGCCCGGAAATATAGGAGTTGGCAAATATGTAGAGCCCCACCCCTCCCATCCTGTCCATTGGCATTTTCCCATAATTAGGTCTATAGCGTCATTTGATTTGATTTGTGAAATTATTTTTTTTTATCGTATACACGATAAATCGTTATCGAATCGTGCTAGTGTGAAAATTTCTCTTATTTTTTTCATTTTCTATATAACCTATAATTGCTTTCTAACATTTTATCGGTGATCGTTATCGTCATAGTGTAACAGGCCTGCTTTAAACGCCTATGGAATTACAAGTGCCACAATTAGGCCTATACTGTTTAAACAATTAACTAAAAAAGCACAGACAACAGACACACAATCAGTAAAATAATAATCGGAAGTACTTTATATGTAAACAAGTGAGTCTAAGTTTGAAGACGGGTGTCGGCTAACTCGTACACATGTCAACTCGTACACACTTTGGCAAACTCGTACACAAATTTAGGCGGACTCGTACACACGATTGGTGATCTCGTACACATGGATTTTGGCGAACTCGTACACATGACTTTTGCTGAACTCATACCCAAATGGGTCATTCCATATGAATCCAACACACTTTTTTGCCCGACCCCCTTCAAATCGCCCAATATTTTGCATGTTGGGGGGTTCTACCTGAGATAACCCCACAGTGAAAGTTTTGGCTCCGCGCCAGCATTTTCTGATTAGTTTGAGCAATTTGAAATTTTCATGAGATTTGGCTAAAAAACTCACCTTCTGACAGACAACTGCTTATATCTCTCTTGAAACTCAACGTATTGGAGTAAGTGGAATTACAAACTAAAATATTCGATTTTTGAGGATATTTATGGCGGCCATCTTGAATTTCAAAATGACTATCATCCTAGCTTTTTGAAACTATATTTATTGTATTCAGAGAGCCCAAAATCATATGATTAGATCCTAATTTACCATTTTCCATAGAGGAAATGTGGAATTATACTGAAAAATAATTTCTTTACCATTTTTAAGGCGGCTATCTTGAGTTTCAATATGGCTGCCATTTTACGTTTACGAAACCTGTCTCATTGGCTTCATTGACCATAATAACATATAGTTAGACACCAGATTTGCCCTTTTTCATTGGATATAAGTGAAGTTATGAGTCAATATCATAATTTTGGCGGCCATTTTGAAAATGGCCGCCAAAAAAAATATATTCCGCCCTTCTTCTGGAGGTTCTCCCTCTCTCAATTTCTTATTTACACCCTAGTGATGCTAAATCAGCAGTGAAACCCTGGTCCCAGAAAAATGGTCACGGGGCCCCTGATTTTCACTATACTATGGTGACAATTTTTATAGAATCTATCAGCAGATTTCCTGGAAACTCAGTGAAACTATCAATACCAAGAGGACACGGAACTAGTGGGGGGGGG